TGAAGTACTTTTCGTAAAGAACTTCAAATATTTCAGATCCGGCTATGCCTCCAAATATCTGAGAAAAGAGAGAGTGAGTGCACATGGCGGTTTTCCTTATAAAAGAGACTCCATCTTTGGGTTTCCAGTGCAGTTCAAGTTTGTTGTCGTTGGACTTCCAGTAAAAAAAATCGTTGAAAAGGTATTAATAGACAAAACCACGAGAAAATGCATGTTGTATGACAAAAAGTTTTATTCGTCCAGTTTACTCAAAATGGTTCAATTATTCAGTTTAGCATTTTGTAAACTTGTTCTAAATGTTAAGTCCATTGAAGCCTTGTCTTCATTCTATATTTTTTTGCTAAAAGTCTTCATTCTATATGTAAGGCCTATGGCCATTACAAGAAATCAATCTAACAACAATCTTTCTCTAAATCCCTTAATTAACATCTCTTTGTCAATCTCTTGCTATTGAAATTCCAGTCCTCCAAGGTGACCCTTCTCTTTCGTGGCTATCTTCTAAGTTGGATTTCCCGTTTCTCAAGTTTACAGTGAGTTTTGGATCGGATCTCTATCTCTCGAGCAAAATTCATGCTACATGTTAGAGAGGAGGAATCAAAAGTGGTTGGCTAGCTTGATCTTTACGACAAGATTTAGGGGCAAAGTTGGAAATCAAAACACAACTTTTGTCACATTGTGATTTTATTAAGTTTTAGAAAAACACGATTTCGATTTTTTTGTTTGTTAGACAACAATATAAATGCAAGCCCGGTCTTGTGGGTGTGCCACAAGTGCGTTAGCACCGGGTTCCACCATTTTTATTAGTTTTTAATTGCATTTTTAAAGTTTTAAATTTTTAGAATTAATAATAAAAAGCCCAAAATTTTAGATTTATCACATATATAATCAAATTTACGTTTTTTTTTTGTTTGCCACCGGCCCATTTGCATTTGATTTGGACCTATTTAAATGGAAAGCAAACATAAAAAGATCAGCTAGAAGTTGGTGGAGAAAGAACTAAATTAATCAGCTTTGATCCTTGTTGCAAAAGATTATGAGTCAAATACCCAAAATTTCTTGGTAAACAAAGAAGAAAAGTGATTTGTGTTTATTCTCCCTCTCCGATGTTTAGTGTTTTTACCAGCATCGTGAGAGAGAGGGTTGTAAACTAATAGTTTTTACGTTCGACACGATGTCTAGACGATGTCCTAGAGTTTTTGGTCAGTAGACGATGCGATATTATTCGCCGTCTGGTTTTTATGAGTTATTGTGATTTCCGTTATTATGATTTCCTTGGTTGGGTTTAGTTTTCTAGGTGAACTTTTTAGTTGAGGTTTTTTCACTCGTAGAAGATTTATGTTTAATTTTTAGTCAATTATGGCTATCTATTTGATTTAAGTTTTGTAATTCAACCTTGTTCAACGGCGGCTTCACTGAAACTAATTCGGAACAAAATTGGCAAAGACAATCAAAGAAGAAGATTTAACTAAATTAAGAAAATTGTTATCATGTTATCGTAATAGATTTTGGAAGTCTGTCTGCTTTTGTGGATTCAGGAACAAATAATTGTCTATCTTCAATTCAAAACAAGATCACCTTGGTATCGCTAATGTGTTGTCAACGATTATCATCCTCACTTATTTTTCTGTGCGGAAAAAACCATTAGTTTCTCTTTGTATTTCATCTATTGAACTTCTTCTATGATGTATCTACTTTAAATCAGTTTTAATAAAATAAAGTTTTAAAAGAAAAAAAGCCAAAGAAGAAAGGTTCTTAACGGAGTTCCATAGTTAAAAATGAGTTCAAATGTTTTAGGATAGGAAAAATTACATAAAAATTGTAACGCCCGTGAATCAAAATTTGGAATTTTGGGAGGTATCGACGCAAGTTTTAATTGAACCGACGGGTTCGGTTTTGAATCGTTCGGTTTGCAGTTTGGGTTTGGGAAACCCTAGGGCTCGACAATATAAGACGATGAGCCGTGTTTGTGTCACAATTGAGAGAGAAAAAGAGTGATTTTTTAGAGGATTGAGAGGAAAAAAGGATCATTGTTGATTTCTTTTGTGTTCTTGATCCTAAAGGATTGAAATTGTGATTGTGAGGCTATAGAATCAGGTTTTGGTGCGCGTTTTTCGTAGAGGAAGAGGGAAATCTGGATTTAGGGAATTGTAGCCTCTGATTTTCGATCGATGCATGGTCTGGATTTTGATTCTCGTGTTGATTATTTGTGTTGTTCGTTGTTGATTGATCGTTTGGTATTATGGTGTTCCTTTA